TTGTGTTAGTTATGACTGAGTCAAATTTCCAAATACCATAACTTGGTTATAAATCTGTTCTAAAACAATAATTTATGACTTTACAATCACATCATAAACCATAATATTCTGTCCATTAAGTTTCTTGTTGGAATAAAAGAAAATCACAATTAGCACCTAATATGTATGCAAATGAAAAAAGGAAACAATTAGCAGGCACCCACAGAAGACCTGATCCTTTTATACAGATCAGGTAAGATCTGTTGGTTGTGTTTAAGAGACAAGTGGATGTCGGAAACATGAGCAAGTTTTTTACACCTTTTTGCACATACATGCACCCATAAGAAAAGAGTAACATCCTTACTCTGAAGTATTTTTCTTTTTTTTTTTTTTTCTTTTTTTTTTTCTTTTGCTTGTTTCACCTTTCCATTACCATCTTTGGCTCCCTCTCTCTCATTTTTTTCTCCTGTGAACTCAATAATATTAGATGACTGGTCAAGTCAGTGGTTGCCACCGACACCACCAGAGGCCTTGATCAAACACAGAGAAATGATGGGAAAAACATGAGTGGAAAGAAGAGTTAATAAGACAGTAAATAACAATATTTGCATGGCTAATTATTAAAAACAATCTTTACATTATAGATAGTTGAATAAAGTATATTGTCCTTGAATAAATACTGTACTAATATATCATATATCATCTATAGGCTTTGTGACAAACATGTTTAGTTGCTCGTTTGCTTCTTATAACAAATGGTGGCTCCCTCAATCCACCACAGTAAGTCATTGTATTCAACCATTTAAACATGGTAATGGGTTGGTTTAGTTCAACTCAAGGACCACAATGGCATTTAATATGCTTGGAATATTAAATGGCATGATGACATGATTGCTGGTGCCAGATGTGGTGGCCTGAGTATTACAGAATATTCCAGTCTACTAAAGGAATTTGTACTTACACATCTCTTAAAAACATTTATTGAACCATCAAGACCTCTCAAGGTACAATCGCTTGGGGCTGCATTCAGTATTTAGATGTTGCTGTCAGAATCAGACACAATGCAAAAAAAAGGAAAGCATGGATGTATTTGATTTTGTCCCAGCATTTGGGAATTGGAGTAGTGTAATGGTGTGCAGGATGTTTTCTCGGCACACTCTGGGGCCCTTGGAACCAATTGAAGATCTCTGAAACTCCACATCCAACCAGAATATTATTGTTGACAATGTCCATCCTTCTCAGTAACCACAAGGTAGTAATCTTCTGATAGCTCCTTCAGGCAGAACAGTGCATTGTGTCTTCTCAAACTGACCATTTTAAAGATGACTTTAAGTTCACTGTCTTCAAATGGCCTCAACCAGATACCAATCCAACAGAGCACTTATGGGAATTTTGCAAAAGCTGGGAGATTTTGCATCATGGATGTGCAGTCAACACATTTCCAGAGACTACCTGTGGAGTGAAATCTCTGAGGAGTACTCCTGATAAAGGTACTTTTAAAGAATGACTACTGTACTAAAAGTACCAATGCGGCCAGTAAGTGTACATTATTAATTCAACAAGTTATGGAGCCGTTTTGCATTTTCTAAAACTAGCCTCCACTTCTGTGTTAATGTACTTCATCAACCACAAAAACAGCAGCCGCTGACCTGGAATCAAGTGTTTTCTGACATGCATGCATTATTGTCTGTTCTGATTTAAGAATCCTCGCAGCACTGAAAATACTTGTAAAAACACTCTGTTGAAGTGGACACTGAGTGGGGTTTCACATTAATGCTAATGGTAAAAAAAAAAAGAAAGAAAGAAGCACATTCAAACCACTCTCTGCTTTGGAAATATGTGCTGCCGGAGGCTGACATATGACCAGCATATGGATCGAGTCCATTTTTAAATTGTGTATTCCACAATAGAGACAAGGATGCAAATGGAGCCATCCGGGGTTAGCAAAAGAAGGCGTGGATGCGAAGTGTACCTAACACCGTATTGCATTAGTGTCTGCGCTTCTGTTAACATTTAGAGCAGCTTCTTGGCCTCTGTCGCTGTGGAATTAGCCTGCTGTTTTCCATCCTTCCTCGGAGTTCAGAAGGTCAGAGCACAAATTTGCATGCGGAGTCCGATGATGCAGTGTTTTTGCCATGCTGTGTGTGGGATGGAGGGGTGGGTGCATTTGTGTGTGAGAGTGTGCAAAAGAGTTTCCACTGCATAATGGCTTGGCTGATCTAGATTTTATCTTTCTGAAGCTCTCCTGTCATGTGCAGTGTTCCTGATTAAATGAAACAAGGGCTTGCTTTCCTTTGCGGATAATTGGGAAAAATCTGGTTTAAGTTTAACACAGTTGGAAAAAAGGTTTCAAAGTGTTTACCTTGTTGTCAGAAAGCAGGTATGAGCAGGAACAGTAAGCAGAGTTTCAATATTAGGCAAACCATTCAGCAGGTGAGTAAATGGTGATTTGTTCCTTTACAAATCAAAATACTTTCTTTTCCCAAAAGCATTGAGGTGCTTGTTTTCACGCACAGATGAATAATGCCCGCACTTTGAAGCGATACCTGCTGTAGCTCTTCTTGGATGGATATCTATAAGGTTTAGAAGTGTGTTTCTGAGTTGTTTTCTGCCAGGAGATCATGTGTGAGTCAGGTCAGATACTGATGTCGGACTAGAAAACCCGGATTGCAATCTCCACTTTAATTCATCCCAGGGGTGATCTGTTGGGTTGAGTTCTGGACTCGATACAGGCATGTACATTTTTGTCTGTCTGGACCTTTCTTCAATCTGGATGAGGCCATTGATAGACTGTTTCCACAAAGTTGGAAACATGCAATTTTTCAAACATAACTTTGCAACATCAGCCGCTCCAAGAGCTGCTACAGTCCAATCCAAATTAAGCCATCTTCCTTAAAATGTTCCAGCGATGTTTAGTTTCATATCCAAAATTGCTTTGAAATGTGATAAATATAAGCTAGATTCAAACATGCAACCGAGAAAATGCCAGACCACTACTACTAGCAATGAGACGCTGCAGAGTTGAAAGTTCTTTTAAATGGAACTAAGAGTCCCGCAAACCAATCCGATATCATAGTTCCATCTAGGCTAAAGTTTCTCTTTGGCCCAGTGGAGTCAGGTTGTGATTTTCCATCATACCATTAAACTCAGATTTGTCCTTTGGATTGCTAGAAAGAGTAACTGGATTTGTTATTTAGTTAAGAACACATCCTGTCTTCTAGCACAGAGACACTTTGTTTACATCATTTAATCCAATGACGTAAAATTTGGTTTTGTTCGCTAATCCGGGGCCTCAGGAATTTTGGAAATAATGGCAAATAACTCTGGAGACAGCTGGCAACTTCTGAACATTATGCATCTCATCACAAACTGCCATCTCCAACTCCCACCCACTACTCATCGATTTTGTGTCGCCTACAACTTCCCGGTTGACTTGCTGTTCTTTTAAATGGACTCTACTTTGTGGACAAACTGAAATTTTAACAACATTTTTGGTGGTAAGAAAATTTAGCAAGTGCCTCAAAGTACTACAACAACATTCACTGAACTCTAGAGCTCCAGTTGCCTGATTTTGTAAATCTATGACCAAGGAAGTGATTGGAACATCTGAAGTCAATGGTTTGTGGGGTCTGTCGATACTTTAGGCAATATTGTGTTTGGATACGTATTTCCTACAGACAATGTTGATTGGATTGTATTAAACAGAGGTAAGACTGATAAATCCACAGTGCCATTGGTGGCTGTTATTAATATCCCAGCAATGGGTTTTTTTTGGGTGCTGTGTAGAAAATAACATTTGCTCAACATAGCAGGTAAAATGAAGTTGCATTATTTTAAATTATAAAGAGTGTGTTTTTTTTGTTGTTGTTATTGTTGTTGATTCGCTTAGGGCAATTTGCATGCACTTACAAGCCTCTAAGTCTTGATAGTCAATTTGCTGGCATTAAGCTGAGGGGTTTCAATTTCACAAACCAGCAATAAAGCAAGTCCAGCCCTCTTCTCGCTCTTTATATCTCATTCCCCTTTCTATTCGTTCTCACAGCTTGACATTTTCAGTCTTGGCGTCTCCCCTCATTTATCCATTTCTCCCTCCAACCTCAGCCGTCAGCGGCACGTTTGAGGCATTAATTGAATAATTAATTCTTCTCATTAGCTTGTTTTTAATTATTTCCTTACCACTTTTCTGTGCCTTGCATAGACTCATCAGCTTTTTTTTTTTTTTCTTTTGTTTTGTTTTTTTTAATCCCTCAACACAAATTGCCCATGAAAACCGCGGGCCGTCACGAGTGTAGCCTTAGCCGACTGGCTTTATCGGTGACTCCTAATGAGAGGGCGAGAAGACCAGGCGGAACCAGCCTGACATCGGCTTCGTGCACCGACAGCCATAATGTTAATTTAGCTCATTTAGTGTCCTTGGGCCAATTAAAAAAAGGTGAAAAGGTCCCAGTCACCAGCTGGAGATGCTTTCTGTTTCGAAAAACCGGTCTTGGATGGCACAGGGACTGGACAGCAGCAAACGGAGCCTATGTTGCTGATTGCTCATTTGTTTGCGATGTTTTGTGCTAATTAAATTTATGTTTCCTACATTCACCAGATTTTGGCTCCTTTGAAAGACCTTATTACTTTTGACACAGACTCTTCCCTTGCTAAGTGGGTAAAATGGTGGGCAAATGGACTTTGTGTACTTCCTAATGAATAATGCCAGTATTGAACGCAGATTGTATTGTTAGACGACACAATAATGGAAGCAGACTCGAAGCCCAACTGACAACTGTGATGTGACTGCAATGTTCTGGCATCCTCTCAATTTGCTCCTCTATTTTAGATGTTGCTTTCATTTTGTTTGTGTTTGAACGTCATTTAAGTTTGTTGTTTTTCTTTTTAACATCACAACCAATGTACTGTCTTATGCCTTATTGCTATGTTTTATTAATTTCTTCTCTTTTTCTTTGTTTCCTTTGCTGTTTCATTTGCTTTGTTCACTGACTGAGCCTTTGTGTTGCATGCTTGTCATGTCGCAGTTTGATCGTAGCCACACAGTCAGCAGCACCATGGGCATCCAAGTCAACAAAGGTAAAGTTAACCCCACTTAACCCCTCCATCACCTTTCTGACCCCGCCATTCCTCAAAGTCCCATTGCTCATCCGCATCCAGACATGACTTTCACTTCAGTTGTTCAAGTTAAAAGTGGACTTTATGTGGCTAAGGATGGGCCTTGCCCATCGACGCTGTGGTAGAGGCTTGTAGAAACTGCTCTAGATGTCCGTGTCATGGCATTATATCTCTGTATTATCTCTGTATGAACTCTTCAGCCATTTCCCTAAAGCTGTTCTCTTTAATTCACTCACTCTTGCATCTTACCGTATTTCCTCGTCTGTTGCTGCAATAAGATGAGCATGTGCATTTTTTTATTCAAAGTCTATGACACTACAAGAAGAGGAAAGGATTTATTTTTATTTTTTTTATGTATTATTTAGGATAGGATTTCATTGAATTATAAAATTCAATGAATTTTCTTTTTTTCTTTTTTAAATCTCTGACACCTATAATTCTGTGTAATGAATACATGCTGTACATTTTAAGGCATTCTTACTCCAATATACCTGACAATATGAAGTAAATGTAGATTAGTTCATAGTGTTAGGACACTTTGGGAATGAAATTGCAGCAACTGCCACAAAAAAAGACATGTTCCCCCACATTAACAGGAAAAACTTCTGGTCTTTGCTCAACCTTGTTAGTCACAGTTTTGTTCATTTAATTAATTTATTTTTTTTTAAATTCTAAGACGTCAAGCAATCTAAAAATGTGAGAAAACTTCACAGGAAGTGTCATATTTGTTAAACTTTACTACACCTTAATATATAGTTACTAGTTCTTCTTCAATGGCCATAAGACAAACTAGCTTTGAAAGCCATACTGTAATTTTACTCAATTATTTTTCAATGCCGTCTTACATCATAAGCAGCTTTTCTAAAAAGGCATGCAGTGTCATCAGTTGTCTTTCAGAAACAAATTAAACGAGGACACACGTTTAGAGAATTTTGTTTCAAGCTTCTTTTTTTTAATTATTTTTACAAAAAACCTGAAAAATGCTGAAAGCTGGGCTTCGGTAAGTACAAATGACTGTATGATGATCACCATCGTATGTCAGCGCCGTTACCAAGAGAACTGTAATGCAAGTCGGCGCTTCTACTTGTGTTTCTTTTATTTTTCTGTTTCCCCATCTTCACTGCCACTGGTACTCTGACCTACCAGCATGGAACCACCTGTTATTGTGCAACAGCTGTCCAGGTTGCAAGCAAAGTGGACACAAAGACCACCCACAGACTAGCAAGCCACAACAAGGATAACAAAAGATAAGATTGCAGAGGTACAGCCGGATAAGTGGAAAGATGTACAGACGCAGCAACAGCACTTTATAGACTGGCTTTAATGTTATATGTGTTTAAGATTTGCACTGAAAAATCAAAAGCACATATTTTAGAGAGGGCCTTTGTTCATGTTGACAGACAGTGTTGTTCCCTCTCAACTTCTTTCACAATCATTAGCTGCAAAGTCTCTAACATTATTAGAAATTCACTGCAGATGGCTTTCTCCTAACCCACGTATCTGTATTAACCCTTTTTCCCCATGTCACGTAGAACTCGTTCATTTCTCAAACTGACAAATTTACTGCTGTGACTACAGAGCCTTTCTATTATCCCCATTTCTTTTCACACATCACATTACAGTCACAAGTTTCAAAGTATTTTAGTGGGATTTCTATGTTGTATACAGTCAGAAAGAATTGACCGTCTTCAAAAATAATTTTTCAGTGGAAGGAAAATGAAGCATGAATTTCAAAAACTCTAACATGTGGTCTACATTTATATTAAAACTCAAAAGTGTTAGCGTGTTGTATCCCACTTGTGGCTGTTGTTACAGCAACAAGTGTTTTGGGAGTACATCTCTGCCAGCTCTATATAGTTTGAGATTTTGCACATTTGTTTCTTTGTGAAATAGTTCAAGCTCAGCCAGACTGATGGCGAGCCTCCTGTTCTGTGAAATATTGCCAGAGATTTTGAATTTGATTAAGTCTGGACTTTGACAGGGCAATTTTGACACATCTACAGTACACAGATTGTACATGTGAGACTGCATTATGGTCATTCTGAATGTTTGTTTTAAGATTGTTGACTTGCTGACAGATTAACCTCCACCCCAGTCTTAAGTCTTTTGGAGTCTTAAAAAGCATCTATTGTCTCCTTGCTTTTGAGCAGTTCTCTGTGAGATGTTCCAATTTAGGAATATTGTATTCTCTAATGCTGCTCTAAATTTCGCCAGACCTTTATATCCAACATGTTGAAAGCGCTGAGATCTTCTAACCGAACTTTAGCTACAAAGCAGTTTAAACAGCTGGCAGAGCCTTTCTATTATATTTATAACAAACAGAATAAATCAACTTAAAACAAGGATAAAAATGCGAAGGATATAGATCTAACAGTCGTTTGCATAAACAAACATTACAGGAGCTATAGGAAGAAGACCTTTTCCGCGTGTTATAAGTGAAATAATCTGCCAGTACTTTTCCATCTATACTAGATGATCATTGACTTACCAATATCTTGCTGATGAGTCAATTGTAAGCTAACCTGGCCTTTTTTCAAGTGTACTAATATCTTTTCATTAGAAACTAGACCAAAAGATTTTGTGTTTTTGGAGTGAGTGAAAAGCAATGCAATGGTTTTTAAGTATAGAATCAATTGGGGCTAAAGAAGAAGGGACTCTGGGACACCACACAACAGAGGAGGACATGTGGGCACCAAGATTTATTCAAAAAAAAAATCCTCTTCCCAGTAGGACCTGAACCACTTCAGTACTGTCTGTGATCTCCACCCACTTCTGCAAGCAAGAATGAAGATTCCTAATCCACTATATCAAAAGTAGCTGTTGAATCTGACAGCACAAGAACAACACTATCACCACAATCATTTGTTAAGAATGTGTAATTAAACATTTTTGGAAGTACTGATCTGGTGCTGTGTAAAGATTCAAAAACAAAATGGAAAAATCCCATTCCAAAAACGCCATTGATTGGTTGTGTACTGTTTATTCAAGGACTTTGGAGGGGAAAAGAAGTTAAGAAACAGACCTGTAGTTGTCAAAAGCAAAAAATGCAGGATCAAGAGTTGGCTATTTAATAAGAAGTCGTACTACTGCATGTCTGAAAATCCATAGAGACCACGACTGACAACAAACTGTGATTTGCCAGTGCAAGAACCAGAGGCCCAATTGCAGCTAAAATGTATTTAAAAAGGTCCACTACGGACAGCATCATTTAGAGACCCCCAGGCTTCAAATGAACAACAATCACTTGAAGTGGGGAAAGTCACAGGTTCAAACCTGTCAAAGGCACTAGAGTAGGGCTCAGAGACTGGGGATGTGAGCAGCAGAAGACATTTGAGCACAGGTTGAGGGGATCTTCTGAATAAAAAGTGGTCTTTTAAAGTCTTTGTAGAGCACATGGCTCGATGTAGGCAGGCTACGCCACAATAAGAAAAGACTCATGAGTTTTAATTTATACGCAGGTTTGATAGATTATCGTCAAAGTGATGCTTAGTTTTGGGATCTTTTGCAACTTTTTGATGATGCAACAAACTTCATATCTTAAAAAGACACTTGCAGTTTGTTTTTCTTCACTTGGCACACTCGTCTGACAGCTCAGGGCTTAGATTTAGCTTTAGGCTGCTTGGTTTTTAATGGAGCCACTGTATCCAAAGCGGTCTAGCAAGTGTAGAAAAACAATGAGCTTCAATCTGGCTGTAAAAAATATATAGATGTGGGTAAAAAAAAAATATTGAAAACTCCTCAGCAATGGAGGAAGTCAAAACAACTAAAGCACTTTGCAGCAGACCAAGGTTTAAACAGGTTGACTATGGAAAGCATCAAGTAAGCGAAAGTTAAAATAAGAACATGCAGATGGACTGAAAATACACCATATGAAGTAGGAAGACCATGTGGTTGATATATCAAGATTACAAGAATCAATAGGATTAAAAACAAACTTTTGACATGGACATTTTGGGACAATACACGGGAATATTAGCATTCAGCCAGAATTACTCAGATTATTTCGTCTAGTTTGTAAAATCACTTTGAAATACTTTTATTACTGCTTGTTAGTTGGTAACCTGGAAAGGCTCCAGGAGTGTGAATACTTTTGGAAATCACTTTATCTTAAACTTTGACATGTATTTCTTTTTTTTTTTTGTGCACAAGCACACAGAATCGGTGAAAAAAGATTGTTGCAGTACTTCAGTGTCTGCACATGTTGGGAACGGAAAGAAAAAAAAAAAAGCCTGCTCACCCGATTAAGCCGGAGGAACACTGCTGTTGTTTCAAGGCAGAGTTGTCAGTGACTATGATCCCCCACTTCCCATCCCTCCCCGTCTTCCTCTCTCCTCACTCTTGCACCTTGTCGCCGTCTTCTCATTTCCACACCACAGAGGGGGAAAAAGGGATTGGAGCACTTCGTTTGCCAGGGGTGAAAAGAATTCATTGATTGTAAGCAGCGCTGGTTTCTGGCATAGCGAAGAGGGATGAGATCGGGGGGCTCTCGGGCGAGGAGGGGATGGAGACAGGCAGAGATGGCAAAGAGGAGCAGATACAAGCACGGCAGCAGCACAATCGCGTCAGCCGTAGCCTCCCAGGAATAAAGTTGGGCTTAACTGCAGCATTACCCACACGCTTGCATTACAAAATGTTCCTTCGCCAGCATTTAGCATGCAAATTGGCTTCCAGATTATGCCTTTTGTATTCATTTTACAAACTGTCAGGCTATGATGTGGGAAGAATGATAATCAGGCAGATATTGCCCCCTAGCGCTTCACTGACAATCATCACACACTCAAAGAGAGGGTTTGCAGGGGTGAGGCGGGGCATTGTGCTCTGCTGCAGAGCGGTGAGTAGCGTGAGCGTGCCAAATGAGGAGACAGACTGGAACAGAGGGAGCAAATAACTCAAAATGAGTTACAAGTGAATATTTTGGAGTTGGTGCAATGGAGAAGAAGAAGTGGGGAGGATTATGAAAAATAGATCTAGGAAAAACAAAATAGAAGCTGCAGGGAGCTTACTGCAGAATGGAATTAGGGAGCAGATGCAGTTGTGTTGTCTAGTCAGGTGAATTCATTTAGCCAAAAGAAAGACCAAAAAAACATTCATGTAAACAATTTGCAAATTAAATGCAAAACCACGCAACATGCAATACAGCTTGCATCCAAATATTTTTTTGGGATTCTCCTCATGTGTTGGCAAAGACATAAAACAAATTTTAATCATTTCCTCACAACCGAGCGCTTTGCATAGCCCCAGTATAAGGCAGACCCAGAAAAAAAAACAAGCCAGAACCATATCATAGCTCTCTCCTTTGCAGACTTTGACGGACAATGATGCATGTCTTTTGGAAAGCTGTGGACCTCCACCAAGGGAATCTGTAAGAGCATAAATATTTGATGAGGTGAAAAAGATACAATGAGGAATCCCGGTGACTCTCCATGTTGGTTTCAGCGCTCCTGGTCCCCTTGGGGAAAGGGTCGCAGTAAATCAATATGAGGTTCTACTGAGTCATCATTCGTATCCTTTAATGTCCCACTCAGGGAGCTACGGCTGCCACAGCAGTAAATGTTTTAGTTACTTTAAGATATTTAAATTATCTGGATAAAACTAAGTGAAAACCCCAAAATGCATAATTTTTTTAGAAGGAATATACCATGCTCCTTATCCCCTCCTCTTTGAATTTATCCTCAGTCCCACTTATCGCTGTGCCTCTCCATTTGTTGACATGAAATATCAATCGGATAGCCCTTATCTCATTTATGGCATTGCCCCTAATTGTGTTCACAGCTTATACAATGGATTGTGTTGCACAGCAATCCTGCGCTTATCTGCTGACCACATGCAGTATTTAAGGTCCCCAGCATTGAAGGTGTTCATGCTTTTACCAGGTGAAAGCAACAAATTAAGTGGGAGACCATGAAGGATGCACTTTATGTTTGGCAAGCGAATGAAATGTTTTCAGACATTTTAGTTGTACAGTCACTGAATGCAAACACAGTGAATCTAATTATCTTCTGTACAGAATTGGCCTTTGACTGACAAGAAAACCTTAAACCTCACTGATCTTAATAACTTTCTTCACTACTTAAAAAAAAATATATATTGATATTGATCGTCCTTTTCACTGTAGGTTTCTTGGTATGGTAAGTAAAGAAGCTCGGCATTTCTAGCAGGACAATGTCCCAGTACCCCCAAAGGTTGGATACATGCAGTATGCACAATGAGAGAACTAAACTATAAAACAAACAAAAAAGCCATTGTGAAATTCACTGTATATCATAATAGGCCTTTATGTCATTCTTAAAATACAATTATGTTGTACGATATATCTCAGTTGAAAATGTTTTTGTGTTATAAATTATTATGAGAAGCATACTACTGTTTATAGTGAATCATATTGATAAAAACACATGCAAAATTCTAATATATCAGAATTAATGAACACACTGACATTCTTGACTGATTTACACAAAGTTACACAATGAATTACACAATGTCTTCAGGATTATACCAGGCTGTAACATACAATGGGATTGCATTTCTTTTAACAGATGTTTTTTGGGGGGAACCACATATGCTTGTAAATTGTTTGTAACAACACAACTGTTGTTTTACAGTGAAATGATAATACCACTTGGTTGGCCAAAGAACAACAGCTTGTTTGGGTTTACAATTCACTATTTCAGGATTGTGATCACATTGTGGAAGCAATATTTTTCTCCTATAACTTCAGTGTAATTACACTGTGAGAACACTTTGCTACAGACAGTGCAGACTATGAGTAACATGTATCACTGGATTACGTCGCAAAATTATTAACGCTAGGTGACAATGTCACAATGGTAATTTGAGAGAAATATTCAAAGATGATTATCCATTCTAGTTTTTCTTTGCAGCTTCTCTGCTTTTGGTCCTCTAAGTTGGCAAGAATTAAAAAGTTAAAAAAAATAATTTCTGAAAGTTGTCTAAACCTTTTGCTGGATCCTCCTTTGCTGTATTCTTTTCAAAACGCAACTATGACCTAAAACACAGCAGTGCAGACAGGAGTTTTTACAGTGCATCTTTCCCACATTCAAATCATAAGATTTTTTTTTTTCTTCCCCCCTAATGTTGCTCCTTCCCCCTTCTCATCCTTCTCTGTCAGGACAAGTCCAATCCCGAGGACCAAACCTCCTGGGACAGCTTCAAGACCATGACCCCCGAACTGTCTATCGTGCCTGGGGAGCAGAAAGACCGTCTGGAATTGCACAATAAGAACTGGGACTCGTCCTCAGCGAACACACCGGACTCATCCGAGGGAGACTTTCAGACTGAAGTCTGAAGAAGTCACGCGAGACGTTCATGCTCACCTTAACCACAGACCTGAGATAATGTTGAGATACAGACGTGCACACGCATACACACATGCATACACACACACAGAGACACACATGCGCAGACTCCTGAAAAAATTTACATAGGTACGATCTCCTGCAAAGGATCTCAGACATTTTGCTCCCTGACTCATGCAATGTGCTTTGTTGGATCCCATACTGTATTTGTTTACGGCTGAAGAGGATGTTTATTCAAAAGGAAGACTGTTCTTCGCTCTATTTTCGCAAAGACTATCGGTTGGGTGGGGAGGGGAAGAGGGGTGGGACAGAACAGGGGCTGGAAAGATCTGTGACTAAAGACAATTTTTAAAAGAACTGAAAAAGGATGAAAAACAACATTTCTGAGAAAAAAAAAAGGTCTTGTTTTTATTCTTAAGATAAAAGAAAATGTCCTACAAGTGTTTGATGACTTGTTTGGGGTGGAGAGAAACATAAGAATATTTCTGCACTCTTATTCTATATATATATATATATATATATATATATATATATATATATATATATATATATATATATATGCAAGGGGAAATATTTCACCTCAGTCCCTCCCCCCAATGCAATCTACTTTTATTATTTGTTTTGTCTTTTTTCTTATTCTTTCAAACGGAAGATGACAGTATTCAGTCACTCTGTCTATCCTATGTGTTTGCTTTCTTTTTGTCACAGCGAGTGTGGATAGGGAATGAGGGGGCAGGGATGGAGCTGCTTACTGATTATGTGCCATTCTCTTTATATGTCTTCAGGTTCTGGTTCTTCTCTCCCTGACCGTTCCGATCTTTAATTTTGCGTCTTTTGTACGGTTCACTCAACGAAAACGTCATTCCCCTTCGTCCGGGCACAAAAAAAACAAAACAAAACAAAAAAGAATGAAACAAATGACAACCAGTTGATTTTTAGTTTCATGGTTTATTAATCTATGCTTCATCTGCTCAAAATAACTCATTTATTTTCACTCATATGTGCTTGAGCTGCTCAGTGTGTTTCTTTTTCTTTTTCTTTTTTTTTTGGTTTCCATGTATGAAGTGATTCAAAGGTCACTTGAAACTTTAAATGCCTTCTTATGACAGAGCACATGAATATGAGATTGCGTTTCAAGAGTGTCTGGAATAGACAAAAAACAAAACAAAAAAAAAGAGGACACAGTGGTCTTAAAGATTGTAGCATCTTTTTTGTTCCTTCAAAAGTTTAAAAGTTGCATGGTTTGATGGGTTGTGAGTGGCTCTTGGTCAGTTGCCCCCTTTGCCATTTTGTACCCTGGTTCCGTGCCATTGCATTTCTATTTTATTACTTTCTATTTCCACATGAGCAAACCATTTCTTTCCAATGTATTCTGCCATGGCATTTCTTTTATTTATTTATTTTTTTATTATTATTATTTTTATAGTGAAGTATTTTCATGAATTATGTAAATGAATGTTTATCCAATCAAAAAAATATATATATTCTCTATAATTTTATCTAATTTTATGTTATCTACAAAATTATTACACTGTATTTCCATACAAAAACAAACAAAAAAAATCCATAATTAATGTTGTTCTGACCTTTTCATGTTTCAAGCAGTTCGTTTCTAAAATGACTTCTTTAAAGTTTAAGCTAAATTAACGCTAAAGGGAGGTGGTAGTCCTTAGTTCCCAGAGTCACTGCATCATGTTTCCTTGTGGTGACCAATTCATGGATTACAGAAATTCTTGGTTGGCATAGCAGAGACAACACACCTGAATGGATGCATAGTCGTTGTAACACCTGTCGCAGTACAAGGTAAAATTTTCTACCTGAAAAGCTCCGGTTAACTGCAGAGGTACTGAATGGCAAAGAGTCAAATTAACCAGCAACTGTCATGAGTCACGATGATTCCAGATTACAAATTTGCTATGGGTGAGACTTTAGCTAACGTGGGTGGCGTTAAGTTAAAATGCCTCTTCCTACAAAATCACAAACACATGTATGCATCCCTATAGATTTTTCTCCTTTCATTTGAAAGTGTAAATGATTTCCTTATCATCAGTTATTAGTTATTGATTCATATTTGGTCACACTTAAACATTTCAGATTCATGCAACACATTTTAAAAATCAAAGATTCTGACATTTGACAAAATGCTGTTCTCAAAGTGTCCAGTCCTAATGGGACCCATGATAGCTAAAGTCCAGTATTTGGTCTTTTTTTAAATTATTGTTATTATTTTTTTCTTTCCAAGACACTAAGGAAATCTTGTTAGCTTCGTCAGTTGAAAGTGAGTGAGAGAATTAGGGAAACAAAAACAAAGACAAAACGGTCCAAAAGATTGTAGCATCCTTTTCATTCCGCACTCCCGATTTGAAGGTTGCCTAGTTTGATCCATCGTCTGCGACACCAGAAACAAGGACAAAAAGATGGATGATGGAGCCCATGTTGACTAAACACACATTAGCAGCCAATATTATATGTCCAAGTTCTAGTAATAATTTGAAAAAACAAGAAATTGCCTTTTCCTGAAGAGCCTAAAAACCCGTAGCTTTTGCTTCAGCGTGCTATCTCTACCTCTTTCATATTGCCTGCTCCAAACTCAGAAGCATGAAATCTCAATGCTACAAGCAGCAAGGCCAAATGTATAATTCCTCGTTTCCATGGATCCCAAACTGTGTGTTGATATATCTGGGCCTGCGAGAACAGCCGCTGTAAAAAAAAAGAGGGCACAAAATAGACATTTTAGAACAAAGGGGAGCTAAAAATTACGATTGCGGTAAACACCATCGCTGCACTTGTTTCAACAAGCGACAGCAGTTTCTCGTTATTGCTACATTAGTTCGTGAGAGAAAGTGTCCGAGTCGGGGATGATAATTCCTCTGTCGACGTTCACAGCGGCAGTGGTTGTTGATGTGAAAGTTTGGAGGAAGAACTGATTTGTAATTTATGAAAAAGCTTGGAGAAACTGCAAAGGGAGGAGCAGATTCCAAGATGGATTCCAAAATTAACACTGTTAAAAAGGGGCTCGAAACAGGCAGAGATGAAGACGAAGGGGAGTGCTCAAAACAGTAATTATCCGGGGATGACGATTTGTCCTGACATTTTCCAATGCAGCCCTCGAACCATCTGTTTAAGGTTCCCTAATGTGACGGTAGAGCAGCGCGGCGCAGATGGTGAGACAAGAGTGGCGCCCTTCTAACCTTTCAAGCTAATCAGCTGATAGGCAAAGCTACAGCTCCACCTCTCTCAGAGGAGGAAGGCTGGTTTGATCCCAGGTTGCCAAGGTAAGGTCACTTTCACCTGACCTCCAGCAAGGCTCAGGAACCAGATCCACCGAACAAAGCGTCCGACTAGCAGCTTCCTGGCCGCACCCGGTAGCTGTTACTCCACGGCATTTCTCCATTTCTCTTCCATCTCTCAAACTGATCTAATTAAAAAAAGAAAAGGAGGGGATAATATAACGTCTTGTTCCCATGGTAATGCAATTCACAGGAAGGAAGACGCAATCAGGTTTGCTTTCAACAGTGTAAATGGTCAAATCTTTCATCTTGTAGTATAAGGAGAAGCTTAGGCTCAATGACGGCTGGTATTAAGATTTTATGGTTCAGAAGAGTAAAACGAAATATTAACCAATTGAAAACTCTGTCATGCGCATTAATCTTTTTTTGTTTTTGTTTTTTTATAATAAATGTGCTGTAATGTTTATTATAACACTAGGTGGACACTGTATGTTAACTTTTAGAGCCACTCTCCTTTTTCTCTAATAAGCGTTTTTTTGTTTTTGTTTTTTGTTTTCCCAACTCAACTGTCTTGGGGACAGGAAGGCAGATTTTCAAACTGGAATCCAAGTAGAGTTAATTCAAAAACCTTCACAGCTCACCTTTCTACCTGTCATACCTGCAAGCCTTTGATGCTTCTCGAAACATCCGACATTCCAGCTGATTTTATTACTGACAAACCCTCACTTTCTCCTTCATTTTTGTTCTTTTTATACATAAGATTGTACAAAGTAGTCCTCTAATGTTTTCATAGTGTCTTTTTTATATGAAAATAAATTTTCAAACTGATTACGGGTGTCTCACATGTGCTGCTTCAAGGGCATCTGGTGAGAAATACTCTCTCTCTCTCTCGATTTCAAATGTGTTCGCAATACCCATGTTTTCGTAATATCACTCAGGGAGTCTGGCATGACAAACGCTGTTACCCAGAGGCACTGAAGCCTAACCGTAACCAATCAGAGCACCCGCTGGTCTGTCTAAAAATGTTAGAGTAACAGCTCTGTGGGTTTGAAGTTCTGTTGCTGTGAAATAACCAAACGGGGGCGAATGTCAAGTCCGACTGGATATTGTGTGAAAATGTACAAACCTTGAGCAATGTTTGTGCTAACGCCTAATATCTTAAGGTGGACCCTCCTGAAAAAAAGTTTTTTTTTTTTTTTTTTTTTTTTTTTTTTACTTAAGCAGGAGAATAGAGCCTGTCTTAGGCCGGCTCTATTCGTCCGCCGAGCGCTACCGGACAAGTGAGCAAGAGAGGACACGACATTGCACATTTCTCAGACTCCTCCATATTAACCCTCAAAGGGACTTGTGGGTAATTAATTGTGGATGAATCTGCCTGTGGACCAGCTATCAGTCACCCTGGAGAAAGGCCACCAAGTGGAACCTTCTCAGAGGAGTAAGAGGGGCTGAAGGTGGGATCAAAAGAGATGGAAAATGGAGAACGTAGCCCCGAGGACAAAGTGCTGAAAGACAAAGTAAAAGCACAAAGGGCGTTTTATAATTACCCCTGGCAGAGTGATTTTCAGTGATAAAAGTGCATTCGAGTTATTTTTCCCCACCGGTTTAAGAGTAATTAAGTTGAAGTACTTGTGGAACTTAAAGAATTTGTGCTGACAAACAGTTCATAAAAAAATTAAGTGAAAAAGGGACAGCAGAGGGGGAGAAATTACCGATTTCAACCCAGTTGAGGGTATGTCCTCTACAAATGTCCTGTCAAGGATTTCTTTTGGGTTTTACATTTACAAGATGAACTCAACCCATTATTGCATCTGACTGACCCTCCTGGGAGGCAGCATGTGTAAAGTGCTTTAGTGCCCCAATGAGCAGTTCTGGAAAGTTTATTATAGCTGAGGCAAGCAAAAAAAAAAAAAGAGGCAATGCAAAGATTTCTGGTTTGGGTGGTGATACAGCGAGACACATTGGGCTTTCAGGTGAAACTTGCAATCCAGTCTGTTTATGCGTTTCTGCTGCAGTCTGTGTAAAACGTTTGCCAGAATAATGACACGATTGTAAAAGTGCACTCCGCTCAACGTAAAAAGTGAAGAAATTCTTAAATAACACAAGCAATCAAAGAGTGTACTTTAACACTCACATTTAATGGATTACAGTGCCCTCCACAGTACGGTGAGGACCAGATTTTATTGTGCATGTAATCTCACACTCTATTTTTTTTAAATCACAACATTCATTTGAGTATAATTATGTAATTGTTA